TATTTATAGTACTTCATGTGACGCAATCCATATGTGAATCGAATCACATATTTCCTTAGATTTAGTTTTTGACCACACCAAGCATCCCCTTTCATATATATTTATCATATAATCAATTTAGATAACTTAATTTTCTATAAAGATTACGATTTTTGTTCATAAAACGATAAAATACTTCAATACACTTAGAAATTTCAAAGATATCGTAAAAGTTTTCTTTCTTTTCTTAAATTACTGTACTAAATATTTTATTTAATATATACCGAAAATATATAAATATGTATTTAAATATAGTAGATAAAATAAGTATGGAGAAACATGTATAAAAAAGTTTTAACAATAGAAGTTACAAAATTTACAAAAAGTAACCTTTAATAATATCGGCTAGTATCAAAACAAGTTAACAAGTATCGGTGATTATGTTAAGTGAAGAATATATACATATATTTAGTTTCAAGCTATGTCAAACAAATTTTAAACTTTTCACAAATGTATGGTTTGTGAAATTTATTAGAGTTATCAGTTTATAAGCACAATTTTATGAAATGTTTAACATTAAATGTTTTACCACTACCTCTATCAATTAATCAATAATCATGCTGATAATAATTATCTAATATTTTTTTTATCTCTATGAATATTACTATCCCATAATCGTTTTTAATAGTATAAGATAAAAACATTCCTTTTAGCCGAGATACTGTAATTTAATTTATGCTTCATGATACGTAAAGTTGTATTCAGATTTTTCAGAAGTTGATTGATGTAAGCTTTAATAAGGCATAAGATATGATAGAAAAAAAAGTAATCTTCAGTAGCATAAACTCACTATTTTTACCAAAACAAGAGTATATCTATATAGAAACATTATTATCAATTTATTGTCTTCCATGAAAATATAAAGTTAAGTCATTTACAGTAGGTCAACTTTGTGATAATTCATTAATGTCTTTTATGTACAATACGATTATAATTCATATAATTTACTTTAATTGCTTAATTAATGAGGGTGTTCTTGTTTTGTGAAGCTTTACAACACAATCTAGACCATAATTAACACAATTTTCGAAAATAACCTTTACTACATCATTAACATCGATTCAGTTGAATAATTCTAAAGAATAAGTAATACATAAGGGATGATTTTTTGCAATGTTTTAAGGCTACACAGTACCATACAAATTTCAAAAATACCATTTAAAAAAAATTTTGTTTGCATTTTTTTGTGTATTATATGATTAGGAAGATTGCCACCAAATTTCCGATCTGATAACATATCTTTTAAGATATTTGAAATTTTTTGAGCTTAGCTTTTGGTTTTGGCTTCATTTTAAAGCATTTCACCACTCCTAAATTGAATTAATTAAAAACATTTTTTGAGTATATTCAACTCTTTCTGACTGAAATGGTTATTATAATTTCAATTTTCCATACTAAAACCATTCCATCTGTATTTTTTAGATTGATTTCAAAGACAATTTTTGTTTTAAAAAATAGTTAATAAAACTTAGAAGCCTTATCATCAATTTTTATCCGTTGAGAAAATGCCTTGAAAAAACCTTTCTGAGGTTGCTATGAGAAACAATGTTTCGAAGAGATGAATACTATTAAAAATGATGTATCTAAAAATCGCACTCTGCTGATACATCTGTTAGACTCTCGAATACAAGTATTCTGACTTCAAGTATTACAGATAAAAGTGAATATTTTCATAAAGTACTAAACTACAATATAGTAAACATATTGTAGGACTATATTTTAGTATTTTAAAGTAGCGCAACAAAAAATAAAATTTGTCAAGTTGCCCCAATTAAAGACTGAAAAAATCAAGCTTTATGCACAAACCTGATCATGTTTAGTTTAAGATAGTATCATTATTGTTTTGGACATAAACTTTTTGTGTTTCAAAACTTTTGTAAACATATTAGGTTAAGATTAAGCTGATTAACTTGTCGTCGTAACAAATGCTATCAATATTATGCCAAAATATATTTTGAATTTAAAAAAAATGTTTTCTATCCTACTTAGTTAAATTAGTGTTTTAATGTAGAACTTAAGTGTCAAAAAATAGCATATTAAAAATTAGAGCTTTAAAAGCATTATTCGATTTTCCTTTATGACTTTACAAACTTTACTTGTGTTTTTCCGCGACATTCAGTTTTGAAGATGTATCTGTATTATAATTGCTAAGGCTTTTTTTCTGTTCTAAGTAGAGTTTTGAATTTTTTGTATATACTTCCGTTATATATACTATAAAATTTGGTATGGAGTTTTGCTCGCGATCTCTAGTTAATTTTTTTTAAAAAAATGCTTAAGTTATAGTATTTTAAAAATGCTCGTGCTTTTTATACGTTTGCCCATAAAAATAATTACTAAAAATCAACAAGGGAATAGATTTTCAAATCCATACTAACTTTGTTTGCAACAATCTAATAAACATAAATAACTAAACATGACTATAAAATATTTTAAAAGTTGTGCATTGTTAAAAATTTTAAGAAATTCAAATATTCGTAATTTTTTTTAAAATTATAAAATAATGGCTGGTCAAACCTACTTTTTACATTAAACTGACTTTTTAATTTCAGAATCAACATAATAATATAACATGAAAGTGTAAAACATAATTTAATTTTATCTTTACTGTCTCAAAAAAATAAATAAATAAAGGTACTGTGTACCCTTAATTTAAGAATTTAATAATGGAGGGTGTTATATTGTTTAGAAGCTTTATTATACTGTTTAGACCATAATTATCATCTATTTTTGTGCGCAATGGGCACAACAATCGTCACCTTAAGAGAGGAAGTCGGCTTAGTTATGCTGAAAACGAGCGATGTCTGGTTGCATAATGAAGTAAAATAGAATGTCTCTCTGGCCCGCTGCACAGAAGTTGATGCGTCGTTCTATGAACGGGTCTTTTTTAATCCCGAATTATCCTCATACACACACAAGGGCACTCAACATCCAGAGTATTCATTAAGTCCCGCGTGACGAATTACATACCTATACTGATGGCAGCATGGGTGTAGGTGCTGTCTCGGAATTTTCATCAAACAAAGGGGGATGGTATTAGGTTCTGTAAGAGAATTCGCGACAGCTGCTCAGTTTTTCGAGCAGAACTCTCAGCTATTGAGGAGGCTTTGAAATTTTGTTTTACTGTGTATCAATACAGATATTTGGATATTCACAGTGATAGTCGCAGCTCTATTCAGAGCATCTAAGTGCGGAAGGCATGGTGACAGAATGACAATATTGTTCAGCTATTAACTGGCGTGAGTGCCAATGTTAAGATAGTTTTTCAAGAAGTACCATCGCACGTGAATGTCTACGGGATGAGATTGCAGATGGTTTGGTCCGTGAGGGCAGCCATAAAGATTATACACATGGTTGTCTTACTTTATTAGAAATTGCTACACGAGTCAAACAAGATGTTAGTTTCTCTTGGAGGCAGACCCCCGTACATGAGTGGTATGAAGGAATCCGTCCTGGTGCTGCTTTGCTCGAACAGACATTAGGCGAGATTAAACTACCCTAGCTAGGTTTTTGCATTAAATATAATCGAGCTCGACGGCATGTGACAGATATTAAAGTTTACCCCTCTTGCGCGAATTGCAGTGTAACCAAAGCCACTCCTGCCCACATCTTGGCTTGTGTTGGTTGCTGGTTGCTATAATAACCAGCTGCTCTCAAGTCCTGCTAGAGTTCTTAAATGTTTAAAAACGCACATGTTCATAGACTTAATATATCTGTTTCTGTCGATCAAATGGAATATTAAATAACAACAGCAACAGATCGTAATTATCATACTTTTGGAAAACATCCTTTATTATACCACTAATATCTATTGAGTTAAATAGATCTTTAAAATACGTTATTCGTAAATAGTAAATTTTTCTGTCATTTTAGCAATTTTTGAAATTTTTATTACTTTAATAATAGTTATGACATAAAATATTTTATAACATGCTACAGAGACTTCGATAATTTATTAGAAGTAGAAATGTAATGTTCCATAAGTATGAATGTAAGCACATTTTTAAAATTCTAAGAAGGAAACAAACGCGCGTGTTCCTTGCATATGTTCCAAACAAGTCTTAGTAAGTGCACATCTTTTAAATAAATACAGAACTTTTATAAGAAAACATAGCAAAATATCATACCACGATTTAATATATTTTAAGTTACAGAAGGAATATTTTTCTTCTACTTTAAAAGCTCTGATGGAGATGCACTTATATCCGTTACATTTTTAAATGTTAAGATAAATGATCCATCAAAATTTAAGAGAAGATTTTCTAAAGTCTTTTAGGGAAGAAAATAAGTTCTTTTAAATCCTCAATTGCAATATTTATTTTTAGCCCCATTACTGCGAAGACAAAAGAAAAATTTCTTGTCTGATGAGATATAGTAATAGTTCCAAAATCCCACCTACGCAGGTATTATGAATACAAATGATTCCCACAAAGTTTTAAGAAAGGAAAGTTCTTTAGAACAAACATTTTTTTTTTGTCTAAGTGTAAATGACAATGAAAAAACATTGTTGAGTAGAATTACGATAAAATGGCGGTATATTAAATGCCTTAAAATTGATTGTATTAGGTTGTTGCATATTAAATGACAGAGGTTTAAGTGGATATATAAAAAGCTACATATCTTTCCAGAAAATCTGTTTATTTAATCAAAATCGGCTCCATTTGCTTCAATATACATTGTGTAACGAGATTTTTAATACATAGAACAATTCTGCCTTCATTTTCATACTGTTTAGCCCGTAAGAATTGTTCTAAATGTTTAAAACAAGTAATATAAAGAAAATTTAACGGCAATTCCTACTTAGGTCAACAAAGAAAATATTTATTTTAGCAACTTTTTACTAAATAATTCCAATTAATAAAAAAATGATAGAATCACAATATTAAAAGCAATTTTCTCTTTATATATGACGTTGGACTACTATTTATTCATGCACACATAAATCACATTTTAAGAAATTAGGCCAATCCTGATAGGATTCGAACCCACGACCTTTGGATTAGAAGTCCAACGCGCTCTCCATCGCACTACATGTACACATCGAGTGATTATTATATATGGTACTGGACTATTATTTTTGTTACTATTTTTATTCATTGATTAATCAGAATTAATGAATTAGTATTTAAATAAACATTTTTACATATGGTATTGGACTATTATTTTTGTTACTATTTATTCATTGATTAATCAGAATTAATGAATTAGTACTTAAATAAACATTTTTACATATGGTATTGGACTATTATTTTTGTTACTATTTATTCATTGATTAATCAAAATTAATGAATTGGTATTTAAAAAAAAACTGTATTAACATCAAGTGTCATCCACTGCTAGTTTAACAAAATGTATTTGATCTTGAGTAGTTGAATAAAAATTATTTTATTAACGATTGAAAATTAGAGTCAGATATATATATATGTATATAGGGTGAATGTGAACTAATAGTAGAAACTGAAAAATAAAATTCGTTTGGTGAAAGTTTCGGTGAATAAGCTGGCTGTAACAAAATTTTATATTTTTATTAATTTAATTTCGCAATTGTTTTGTAGGACATATGTGGACAAGTGTTGTCGAAGAAATATCGGGCAATACCGATTTACAAATGATGGGCGTATAATTTTTAATTTCTCATGCATTTCAGCAACGTACTGGCAATATAATAGACAAAAATGAATTCATTTCCACCTATGGTCACAAAGCATCATTTTTTACTGATGTTTTGGGTCTTACGCATTGTTCATTTTGTAGAGAAAAAGCGCCAGACAGAAATTTTTCAAATAAGCACCGCACTTTTTGATCATTAACAACATTTTACCCAAATGCCTGGTTTATACTGCGTTATTACCAAGTTTATACTCGTATAAAAATTACACGAATATAGTTCGAGCTATGATAGCAAATAACATATTGGAACGTTTCTGGGAAAATCTTTGTTGATTTGCGACTCTGGCAATGTGGACAATACGACTATAAACCAAAACAATATACCAAAAAGAAAAGCATAATGAAAACAAAGACAAACGTTAACATGTAAATAAAATCTGATATTTCATACACACTAACCTACTATATATCTGATATAAAAACTTTTTGATGACGAAAAAAAAATTGTTTTGCACTGCCATATTGAATTTTTCTATTCATTTTAATTGAAATTATTTACTCTTTCCAATTCACTAAAAACTATTTTTGTTTCTAAGAAAGTACGAATAAAAATTAAATTTCCCACTTCTTAAAAATGACTGCATGAAAAAAATTCATTTTATTATTTTTTATTGTAACAATAATTGTATCTTTTCCTTTGAATTCTCAAGAAGAATTATTTAAAAAAAATAGAGATTTTTAAAATTCTATCGTTTTTATTTCCAAAATATTTATTTTTAACTATTTGAGTTAGAAACAAAAATTAAGTTTCCAGTCTTACAAAGAGAGAGCATGACTAAGGAAATTCATTTGGGATCGAGACTTGGTGTAATAGTAGCGCTCCTTAAAGGGTATTCACTCATTAATGTAATTCTGCCAGATGGCCAGTCAATTCGGAAAAATTAGCCTTTGAAATTCATGCTTAGCTTTTATATAATTAAATTTTAATTTTCCGTAACGAGTTCATAGCCTTATTGCTAAATCGTCTGCTTATTATGCGCGAGATCCACTCGATGAATTTTTTTTCTTCAATTCATTTGTTTATTTTTTAAAATTAAAAAAATTATTTATGAAAGGTTTATGAATATTAAATGATATTTTATGTAATTATTTTGTATTTTATAAAGTAAAAAAGTTACTATAATTATATAAATAATTATATTCAAATTTATAAATATATTTCATATTAATATATAATATTTATAATAAAATATATAAAAAATATTAAATGATATTTTACATA